TTATACTTAAACTCAGGTTCTTAAGATTACAAATCACAGATGAATTTCACCATGTTTTAGTTTGACTTAACTTTGGACACATCTAGAAAGAAATTTAGGCTCTTCAGTGAGGCTCTTCCCAGGTAGAGTTCTTTCTTAGGAAGAAACTGTTTCACACCCTTTTCCAAGTGTCTGCCACCTCAGTAACTTCCCCTAACTTGGTATCTCTACTTCTAAATTTGGGAGAACTTTCCTACATGGTCTTGGCCATTTGACTTTCCATTGAGGTTAAAAGAAAAGTTTTGCTGAACTCCCCACTCTTTCATTTTCAGCCTAATCAGCATGGCATGTCAAGATGGCTATGTTCAAGATTCCAGAACAACTCTTGAAAAACCAACCCAAATAGTGAGGGACACAGGAATGGGGATGGTGAGAAAGGTCAACATTCATCCAAAGAAGATACACAAATGACTAGCAAACCCTGGGGAAGATGCCAAACCTCATTAATTATTAATAATATGTAAACCAAAACCTCAATGAGATACCATTCCATACCTATTATAGAATGATTGCTATAATTTAAAAAATGATAATAATAATAACCAGTGTTGGTGGGATGTGAAAAAATGGAAGTATTTGTATGTTGCTGGTTGGAATGTAAAATGATGCAATGCTGCAATGAACAGTTTAGCTATTCCTTGAAAACTTAAATCTAGGATTACCATCAATGACCATCAATTCCACTCCTAGGTGTATAGCCAAGAGAAATGAAAATATATCATCCACACTGAAATACTTTGGTTCCTTTGCGGGAAGGGGAGGGTGTTTATATTTTAAGTTCTCACCTGAGGATATTTTTTCCATTGATTTTCACACAAATAGAAAGGGAAGAAGGAGGAGGAAGAGAAAGATAGAAACATTGATGGGAGAGAGAAACATGGATTGGTTGCCTCCAACACACACCCTGATTTGTGCTGGGGATTGAACCACAGCTGAGGTACCTGCACCTGACTGGGAATTGAACCTGAGACCCCTTGATCCATGTATTCACGCTCTTACCATTGAGAAAACTGGCCCAGGTCAAATGGAAGTTTTTACGCAAATATTTATAGCAACATTTGTCATAATAGCCAAAAGGTGGAAATAACCCAAATGTCAATTGACACATAAAGGGGTAAATTGGCACACACACACACACACACACACACACAGAGAGAGAGAGAGAGAGAGAGAGAGAGAGAGAGAGAGAGAGAGAGAGAGAGAGAGAGAGAGAGAGAAAATTATTAGACATAAAAATACTGATATATGCTACAACTTATTTGAACCTCAAAATCATTACATTAAGTGATAGGAGCCAAGCACAACAGCTCACATATTTAATGATTCCTTTAATATGAAATATACAGAATGTGCAAATTCATAGAGACAGCAATAATATTAGTGGTTGCCAATGGCTAGGAAGGGGTGCTGCTAGAAGAGGGAGAATGGAAAGTGATAAGTACCCATTAATTTGTGGATACACACAACTTAATGGTTAACAACTTAATGGGTGTGAATGAAATGTTCTTCTGGCATGAGAAGGCTTGGAAACCAGAGAGAGCTGGTGGTCACACAACGTTTTGAATACACTAAATGCCACTGAATTGAACACTTTAAAATAATTAATTTTATGTTGTGTGAATTTTGTCTCAATATTTAATAAAGGTTATAATATAATCTTATATTTAACATAATCCTCAGTTTTTAAAAATGCAGATATCCATGAGAGTAAAATATGTTAGTTCATACCTTAATACAGTAAAGATGATTATTAATGAACAATTTGAAATCAGATAATTTTAGTTGTTCCTCTTAAATTGCTTTTATCATAAAATTTTCCAATGATTACAAAACTAGTTGCATGAGAAATTTTTTAATAACTAGAAAAGAAAGATTTAGTGGTATTGAATAATAGATTTTTAAGAACATAGGGGAAATTCTTTTTTTAATATATTTTTATTGACTTTTTACAGAGAGGTCAGAGAGTTAGAAACATCGATGAGAGAGAGTCATTGACCAGCTGCCTCTTGCACACCCCCTACTAGGGATGTGCCCGCAACCAACATATATGCCCTTGATCTGAATCGAACCCGGGACCTTTCAGTCTGAAGGCCGATGCTCTATCCACTGAGCCAAACCAGTTTCGGTACATAGGGGAAATTCTTATGTTGCTGGGTTAAAGGAAGATAAAAGAATATTGTATTGTATGTATAATGTGATTCCAAGTATTTAAAATGCACTTCTTATGGTAACACTCTCTGTGGGGGATGTGCAAATGAGTGGAATTTTTCCTTTCTACTTTCCAATTTTCTTTTTTTTTAATCAAATTACTGGTATTTCATTATTAAATGAGTCATTTTATACAATTTGAGCATCACCATAATTACAACTACAAAAAAAATTATAACAAGAATGAACTGATTTTCATATTTTCAAATTAAAGTCAACTATTTGCCGAAACCGGTTTGACTCAGTGGAGAGTGTTGGCCTGTGGACTGAAAGGTCCCGAGTTGGATTCCAGTCAAGGGCATGTACATTGGTTGCGGGCACATCCCCGGTATGGGGTGTGCAAGAGGCAGCTGGTCGATGACTCTCTCTCATCGATGTTTCTAACTCTCTGACTCTCTCTCTTCCTCTCTATAAAAAATCAATAAAATATATTTAAAAAAAATAAAAATAAAGACAACTATCTTTGCATGAAGCCAAGAAAGTCACAGCATAAAATGAGTGATCCTATAGCCCCTGTACTTTTGCTGATTAACAGTTTTTTAGAAAAGCAGCTTCAGGTTTTCACCTAAGGTCTGAGACAGTAGAAGCAGACGATTCAGTCTCAGCAGAAAAATGCCAAAATGGGAGCTGGACAATAGAAGAAACAAGGGCATGACCAGAGGCTGCTGCCAAAGCTGCCTTAACAGACACCTGCGCTCTCTGCAGGACAAAAGGCCAACTTTCTTAATGAGCATATTTACCACTGTCATCACAAAGGTTCTTTATTTTGTAAAGGTTTCCTATGAGGCAGGCTGACGTAAACAAGCAGAGGTTTGGAGTGTAGGTGATATGACAGGGAAGTTGTTTACACTGAAATTATGTATTTTGATACATAATACTCCTCATAGAAATATTGTAAAAACTAGCCAAAACCGGTTTGGCTCAGTGGTAGAGCATCGGTCTGCGGACTGAAAGGTCCCGGGTTCGATTCCGGTCAAGGGCATGTACGTTGGTTGCGGTCACATCCCCGGTGGGGGGGTGTGCAGGAGGCGGCTGGTTGATGTTTCTCTCTCATTGACGTTTCTGGCTCTCTATCTCTCTCCCTTCCTCTCTGTAAAAAATCAATAAAATATATTAAAGAAAAAAGAAATATTGTAAAAAACACAAAACGTAAAGGTGGACATTTAAATTACCAGACTAACCACTCAGAGAAGCTTAGTCAATCTTTGAACAGAATTGGGCAAAGGCCATTTAGAAGCAACAGTCCTTCACAGTGTAGCGAGCTCATCAGCATAGTTTGCTTAGCAGGTCTGAGCCTATAACGTGCCAAGCCTGCTCTAGCAGAAGTGTGACTCTGCACAGAGCACAGAAGATTCTGAAAGGACAATTATTGGTCTTTGGTTGACAAGCACACTTTCTCACTTCACTCAATACCAACAGCTTAGTAACCTGAACTTCCTTTGGGGAAACTGCTCTTTCCAGTCCTGTTCCATGTGGTTTGGGTGGGACTGAACCCAGCCAACCCAAAGTAAGGATGACCTAGGCTAAGCCAATCAGTGGGTTCAACTACAAGGGCCACAGTGATTCCTTACTCTAGGCCAATGCATTTCAAGGACAGTACTTTGGTTAGAAATGTTGACAAGACACATGGATTCTATCACTGAGCATTTGTATAATAAATAAAACTCTAAGGAGGACACTGCAATGATGAATGGGTTGCTATGTCAGTTTGGTAGATGGTGGTGATGCTCTGTTCCTCCCCTGTACACCACTCTATCATGGTCCTTCCCACTCAGTACTCGGCTCCCTGATGTTTCTGTCTTCCCCATCAGATGGTCAGCTCTTTCTAAAGCAGAAATTTTGAACCAATGCCCCACAAGAACCTTTAAAACATCAAAACCAGACTATTTTGTCAGGTTCACTTACATATTTTCCCTTATGTTAGCAAATAAAAAATAATAGTCATCTGGTGTAAATGTCCTGTCTTAAACTACAAATATAGAGGTCATATAATATATTTGCATCTTATTGATCCCCTTGAATAACATGGTTGTATCTGATTGGTAAATTCTTGGTACCAGCAATTCTTATATAGAAGTGTAGGAACCTGATTTTTTTTAAAGTCACTTTGGAGCAAAAAGGGTAGGCAATTATACTTTTTTTGTAAATCAATCTATGTTTTACCTCTCTTTTTTTGTTAGAAGGGGGAAAATATATATTTTTAATGTACCAAAAAATTTTAGTGATTAGTTTATGTGTTCGGGGAGATGAAAAAGATTGAAAATTCTGCTCTAAAGGAAAGAGATACATCTCTACCATGTTTGCCATTGGACAAGGAAGAGCCTAAACACACATGTGCAAAAAAAAAAATTACCTGATGGACTTAGTAACATGGAGATGAGGCATTGGTTGTTCTATCATTGGGGACTCAGTTTTTGGGCTTGAGTACCTCTACTGGTTAATTTCACATGTCACAGGCCCCACCTTGGGTTCCTGCTCAGGGCTGGAATCTGCTCTGGTGTCTGCTTTGAGTCATCAGCTGTGGGTACTGATGTGGTCACTGCATACTTCTCACACAACCACATAGAGACCATCATCAGGCATAAGGTGTGGGCGCGGAGATGCTTAATAAAAAGCCTTCTGGGAAGAAATACTACAAAACCAGAGGGGGACTCAGATCACAAAGCTCACACACACCTCCTTCCTCTTCTGGGCACTAACGGAGAGCACAAAGAAACACCAGAAGCTCCGACCTAAGCAGCCTTCCTGGGAAGATGCAGCCACCCCTGCTCATGCTCCTGCTGGCCTTTTTCCTACTCCCCAAGGCGGAGGCAGGTGAGTGACCATCCCCACCCTCATAGGCACAACCCATCCCATAGTGGGCACAGACCTGCTGGCCCTTCTGCACATCCCTGATCCAGCTCTCCACCAGGAATGCTCCCATCCCATCTCAGACTCACACACATGAGCTGGATGAGCCACAGGCAGAAATGACGGTGCAGAAGCCTATTCTCAAGAAAAGCCAGTGGGCACAATGCCCTCCCCAGGCCCTACCTGTGCCTTGTGTAGAGTGTAACTTCCTAGAAGTGCATGGCAGAGGCTGGAAAACTGCAGAGGGCAGAGCAGTCCTGGCTTCCATGCCTGTGATGAGACAGGTGTTGTCCTCAGGGTCTGCTTAGGAGAGAAGCCCAGAGCTCAGCAGCCCCCACAGTTGGTGGGGTCACCATCCCCAGAAGACTGCTGTTTCCTCTGCCATTCAGTCCCTTTCTCAAACTCTGCTTTTCTTCCCAGGCTTTTAGCAGTTCCTCTCTTTAAAGGATGAGCCAGTGAGGATGGCAGCCCAAACTTCTCTTTTCCAGAATTCCAGAGCACTGACCTTACCAACCCTCCTCCACAGGCCCATTGGGGGCCAGTCCTTCCAGGCAGTTAACAAATACCAGGAACTCCTCATGTGTCAGCATCTAGATTCATAAGCCTAAGTCCTAGATACTGCAAAGCATACTGCCCTGGACTCACAGCATCACAGGGGCCTCAGAATCTTACCCGACACCAAACAAATAAGGACATGAATTTTCAGGAGCCTCCAGGCCTTCCCTATTCCTAAGATCTGTATTCTCACCAAGTATGTGGCAGGCCAAGTCACAGACCCAGATGAGAATGTTGAGGGTCTTCCCCACCCCCTGCCAACTCCAGCCTCCCAAATGTCCATGCGCCTGAGTCATCAAGCCAATGCCTTCCTGGGGGACTCAATGGGGACACACAAGTGCAACACACTTTTTCTTCAGGGGAGATCATCGAGGGACATGAAGCTAAGCCCCACTCCCGCCCCTACATGGCCTACCTTCACATTAAAGATAAGAAGGAGTTCAGGTGTGGCGGTGTCCTTGTGCGAAAGAACTTTGTTCTGACAGCTGCTCACTGCAATGGAAGGTAAGGGACTGCCGCCAGGCTACACCTCCTGAGACCCCTACAGGGAGCCTGTCCTTCATCCCAGAAGCTGCAGTCCAGGGCAGCTCCCCAGGCTCCTGGTAACTCAAGCCTATGAGAGCTCATCAGAGTTGCCCTCTGAGATCATGAAGGAGCAATGAGAGCCTGAGTAACAAGACAAATAATCTCTGGGCTCAGAGGGTCAGAGATGATAACAAGTAACACAGGAAGAGAAGGACCACACTCGGCAAATAAAGCAGCCGTGGACGGTGAACACGTGAGTTAGGGTCAAAATGAAAATGCAAGCAATTCATGGCATTTCCTGAGGGCAAGAGACAGCTCCCAGCTCCCTAAGCTCAGCATCATTGAGAAGTAGAGTTACTCAGCCCCTTTCCCCTGTTGCCTTGATTTCCTTAGTCTGCAGCCCAGCCCTGCCCCAGCTATGACAGGCGCTTCACAGCTCCTGTGCAATATTTCCTGTGACTCTACATCCCCACCACTCACCCAGTCTTCTTTCTGTGAAGGTTAATCAATGTCACTCTGGGGGCCCACAACATCAAAAAGGAGGAGGAGACCAAGCAGAACTTCCTGGTAAAAAAAGCCATTCCCCACCCAAACTACAATGATAAGAACTTCTCCAATGACATCATGTTACTCCAGGTAAGGAAACGTCCTGTTGCTCTCATGAGGCCACATTATTTCCCCTCCAACCAAATGAAGCACTTCCCTTCCTTCCTTCCCATTCTGGTCACCTGGGACTCAGATGTCCCTCAGTGTCTTGGCCCAGAGACTACTGGTGACCTGTGCTCCCTTGCCTCTTTCTCATCAGCTGGAGGGAAACATCAAGCAAACTGATGCAGTGAAGCCCCTCCCACTGCCCAGGGGCTGGAAAAGGTTGAGACCAGGACAGAAGTGCACTGTGGCTGGCTGGGGGAAGGTCTCTCCATGGGGCCCATACTCAGACACTCTGCAGGAGGTACAGCTGACCTTACAAAAGGATGAAGAATGTGAATACCGCTTTCGCCGTTCTTACAAGCGGACCATTCAGCTGTGTGTGGGGGATCCAACAGAAAATAAGGCTTCTTTCCAGGTGATTCTGAGCATCTGACTACCTTGGCTCTGGGGACTGGGGTGTTTGGGTAGGAACTGAGAGCTGGGGACCCAGGAAGGGGGGAATCCTTCACCCTCCAGGCTGTGAACTTTCTCCAAAAGAAGAACTTTCTCCTGGGAGGAATGGGGTCTCTGAGAGCCTACAAGGGCCTATATTCACTCCAAACACAATGCTCCTCTAGAGGGTGAATTTGCAACCCTCTGGCTAAGGCCAGGGCACAGCGGTTAGATAACTGTTTCCTAGGTGTGTAGAGTTTTATCTGAAGGGTTCTCAGAACTGATGAATGGGTTCCTTCTCCATGCTAAATGTCAGCCCCACCTGCCTGCTCTCAGGTCCTTACACAGTAGACTGCAGCCACAGCTCCCCAACATCTTCATAGCCAGAGGATCTGGGACCTAGGGGAGCAGGGGGAGCTGCCACCTGGGATGAAGTGAAGCAGTGACAATGTCCAGGCTCAAAGGCCCATGGGAACTGTTTTTCCACTTATCTCCCAAGTGAACACAATGCAAGGCAGCCTTCTCTGAGAGGGGCTTGGGGGTGAGGGCTCGAGGGCAGGGCCAGGAGAAGTGACTCAGTTCTTCCTCTCTCGGTCTACAGGGGGACTCCGGGGGACCGCTCCTGTGTAAAAATGAGATCCAAGGCATTGTCTCTTATGGAAACGAATATGGGGAGCCACCACGAGTCTTCACCAATGTTGCAAGCTACCTTCCCTGGATAAAGAAAACCATGAAAAGCCTCCAACTGCAGAACCCAGACCATCTCCTCTGGAGCTAATCCAGGATCACACCGTGGGGCGGGAAGTGGTGCCAGCAACTGAATAAATGTCTCTCAGCTGATGGGAAGAGCTGGATTGCTGCTTATCCTTTGACCCTCATTCACAGGCACCAGCTCTGTGCTCAGAAGGCAATTGCACAATTCTGCTGTTCTGCTTCCTCCTCTTCCCCTTCCCCCTCCACCTCTCCAAACCCATGCTGAGCTGTTACCAGGTCCTTCTTGGCCACACCTGCACCTGGAGGCCCAAACTTCTGCCAGGGTAGAGAGGAGCACCATTAGGAGAAAACATGAATCTCTCAGGTCCTGGGCTAGATGTGAAGATCTTACTTCTTCCTCTGTGTTATGTGCTGAGAGGAAATGACTAGCAATGTGGGTGCTGGGCACCAAGCAGGCACAGTCTGGGTTGCAGTTGAGGATACCCCACCATGCTGAGCAGAGGAGGGCCTTCCTGAGCAGGACATAGTTCTCACAACCAGGAAGTGGCAGGTTTGGGGGGTCTGGAGACTGATGAGGAGAGACGAAGTGGAGGATGGAGGAAAGCCCTGAGAAGCTCCTCATTTCCTCCTGGGCTGAATTTCTCTCCCTGCCCTTTTCTGCCCTCCTCTGAGCTGAGGGCCTAGCTTGGCCTTCAGTCTCCTTACTGCCCCTTCTTCTCATCCCTGCTGACCACTGACCATCATCAGAGTCCACCCCACAGATCACATTGGTCTGAGCTCCCACGTCTGCATATGCCTCCCACTTAGGACACCCAGAATACCCAGGTCCAGCAGGGCCTGGTCACTGAGTTGCTACCCAGCTTATGCCCTGGCACAGGGTGACTGGGGGAACAGACCTGTGCTGGCCCTAAGCAGGGCCCTGGAGGACAGGGTGGCAGGGTGTCTGCAGAACACCTGGCCCCATCTCTCACTGGGCAGAGCCAGCTCCACCCTCACATCCAGCCCAGTGTCCACACCCTATGCTCAGAGTCCACTGACTGCTGGTCATTCAGGAGCCTGAGTCCCCTGCAGCCTGTTCCTCACTGCTGGCCTCAAGGCTCAGGCTGCAGCGAGGGAAGCCACATGGGCTCCACCTGCCTTTTGAGTTAAAAGGGCTGCTCTCCTCAGTAGGACTGGAAAGCACAGTTGTTCCATCCATCAGTGAACAAATGCTGATTGTGCACCTACTAAGTGCCAGGCATTGGGAATGTACAGTGAACATAATACAGGTCCTGACACCTGAACACGAGTGAAGCTGACAGTGTTGACTTTGATGTGAATGGAATTTCCTCTCCCTCCTTCACAGGAACCCACAGAGCCCAGAGCCCACAGGAGTATTTGTGTGTTATTTTTATTGCTCATTACACTCTGTTTTAATTGTCTTAATCACTTGGGTCTCTAGAACAGCAAGCAGCATGTGGGGTTTGGAAATGACTTTATTTCTTTTGTTTCTAGACCTGCAGCCCCCAAACTGTTCACTGGCGCATCCTCTTCACTTCGGGGAGAGAGCAGCAGGTGGGGAGCAGGCAGGACAGCAGCCTCATTTCCATGAGCCATAAAAGCAGCAGATACATTTGGTGACAACATGGATGGACCTAGGGGTATTATGCTCAGGGAAATAAGTCAGACTGAGAAAGACCAATACCATATGATTTCACTTATGTATAGAATCTAAAGAACAAGTTAATGAGCAAACAAAATTGGAACAGACTCATAAATAAAAAGAACAGATTAATGGTTGTCAGAGGGGAAGGGGTTTGGGAGCCTGGACCAAAAAAATAAAGGTGAAAAGATTAAGAAGTAGTTAGAAAATAGTGATGAGGATGTAAAGTATAGCATAGGGAATACAGTCAATAATACAGTCCTAACCATGTATGGTGCCAGGTGGGTAATAGAAATGTCAGGGGAAACACTTCATAAAGTATATGGTTGTGTAATCCCTATGCCTTACACCTGAAACTAATACAAAATTAAAATATTGAAAGTGAACTGTAATTGTACAATAAAATTTAAATTAAAGTAAAGTAGGAGATGTGGATGTCATGGTACAGAATGAAACAGTAGGAAAACCCAAACAATGTATCTGGCAGAGGGCAGTTTGAGTCTGACTCTAAACACCCATCCAACCTGAAGAGCCACAAACATGATGCCTCTCATTACCAAGAGCTCCAGCCTGTGCACAAGCAAACTCCCATCTGAGAGGCTCACGTGGTCAGGAAAACGGAGAAATGCCTCTTCTCTTTAGGCCATTGTGGGTGCGGCTCCATTAGCAGTTTCTAAGATGACCTGCACTTTTCAATGTTAGAAAGTTCTTATTTAGGAGGCCACGCACAGAGAATGTGATGTTTTTGCTGAGCAAAGATCTCCCTGGCTTAGGCCCACCTCACCAGACTCCCAGCAGCCATCCCTCCTCTAATATGGGCACTGCCTGGGAGCTGATACAAAATCCAGTTCTGGGCTAACACCCTCCTGACTCTAATACACACAGCACTCACGCCTGACATGGACAAACGCTCTGGGCTCATGTAACCTTTAATGGCCGGGCCTTTGCCATTTATTGCACACAATTCATGCAGCAGCACAATCTCTCAATGAACTTGAGCACATTTACTAGGAAAGATCAGGCTTGTACACAGCTACTGATTTTGAGTTGGGGAAAAAAATCACAAAACAAAACCCCTGCATTAAACATTTATGAAGACTTATTGAAAAATATAAAAAGGGGAAATGTGGAAAGCAAAATAAAAATATCTTAATTTTTTCTTAATCTTTATTGTTGAAAGTATTACATATGTCCCCTATTTTCTCCCATTGACATATTCTAGCCCACCCCTACTCCCCCACCCCAGGCCTTTACCACACTATTGCCTGTGTCCATGGGTTATGCATATATGCATACAAGTTCTTTGATCTCTTCCTACCCACACACCCTTCTCGGTCTTCCCTCAGATTCCATGCTTCTATGTCTCTGGATCTATTTTGTGCATCAGTTTATTTTGTTCATTAGATTCCACATATAAGTGAGATCATGTAATACTTGTCTTTCTCTGATTGCATATTTTGCTTTACATAAACTCTCCGGGTCCCTCCATGCTGTCTCAAAGGGTAAGAGATCCTTTTTTACTGCTGTATAATACTCCACGGTGTAAATATACCATAGCTTTTTTTTATCCACTCATCTGCTGATGGGCATTTGGGTTGTTCCCAGATCTTAGTTATTATGAATTAAGCTGCTATGAACATAGAAGTGCATATATCCTTTCTGACTGCTGTTTCTGGTTTCTTGGGATACAGTCCTAGAAGTGGGATCACTGCGTCAAATGGCAGTTCCATATTTAATTTTTTGAGGAAACTCCACACTGTTCTCCACAGTGGCTGCACCAGTCTGCATTCCCACCAGCAGAGCACTAGGATTCCCTTTTCTTCACATCCTTGCCAGCATTTGGCATTGACTGATTTGTTGATGGTAGCCATTCTGTCAGTTATGAGGTGATACTTCATTGTTGTAGAAAAAAGAAAAAAAAGGAAAAAAAAAAAGATTCCCCATACATACTTGTCAGGTACAACATTTACGTTAAGGAAATGCTTCTATGGTTTAAAAAGCTTGAGAATCAATTGGAGGCCCTCATCCTCTTTTCAGACATGTGGGAGAGACAGCCCCAGAAGGGTGTGCTACTGACTGAAGGGACCACAGAGTGAGGACAGAGCCTAGACTGAGCCCAGGCCCCAAGACAGCCCAGCCAGCAAGAGGCCTCATGTGTTTTTTAACACCACCCTGTGATGACTTCCTTGCCTCCATGAAAAAGAGATGGGCTTCTGCTCACACACCTTTCCGGATAGAAAGCATCTGGGCTCTTGTGGCAGCCATTCTGTGGCAAGTACTCAAAACATGTTCTTTATTGAGCTCAAGTCTGCTGTGGGCACGTTGGGATGAGGTGCATAAGGACCTTAAATATGCCGATTTCTTCAAATCCCCTTTGTCTGTAGAAGTATCCTTGCACCTCCCACGTCTTACCTCCCAACTTTGAGGAAACTATACTTCTCTGCTTAAAAATCTTTGTAATGAAAATCTAAAAAATATCTTTCTAATGCCTCTACTCACCAAGACCTCCCTCTACCATCCTTTCTTTAATTCAGATCCACAAGAAGAGTCAGTTCTCAGACTGTGGAGAGAACCGCACAGCCAGCCCCTAAGGTGATGCCAATAGGCCCAAAGAAATGCAACAGTTTGAATATCGGTTCCAGGAACATGTACTGATATGGCTCTGCCTTTCCTACCCACCACTACACTGCTGCCAGTACCACTCTCTGTAGACCATGAAACTCAGCAGGGTTTATTTTCAGTCGTGTTGTCCCACACAAGGCTGCTTGAATAATAAATATATTTCAAACCATGAAAGGAGGGCAGCCGCTGGTCCCTTTTTCCATAGGCCTATTGCTAGGCTACATTTCTCATCCACAGATTTGGGAAGTTCAGGGAACCTTGGGTAGGACAAAGAATGCCATATGTAATCACATAATAGTAAAATTGGTTAACATAAAAAAGAGAAACAGTTGAAAGTACACAGAAGAGATAAGAAGACACATTACTTTAAAGCAGTGGTTCTCAACCTTTCTAATGCCGCGACCCTTTAATACAGCTCCTCATGTTGTGGTGACCCCCAACCATAAAATTATTTTTGTTGCTACTTAATAACTGTAATTTTGCTACTGTTAATGAATCATAATGTAAATATCTATGTTTTCCAATGGTTCCGACCCACAGGTTGAGAACCCCTAGCAGGGATGCCTAAGACCATCAGAAAACACATGAGAAGTGTTTTTTCTTCAACCCTAGCAATAAGTGATATTCTTCAACCCAACCCTACCAATACAGTAATTGCATTAAATGTTAACAGATTAAATGCTTCAATTAGAAGGCAGTGGTTGTCAGTCTGGATAAAAAATGCAATACCCAATTTTGTGCTGTTAGCAAGAGGCACAACTTAAATATAAAGACATGGGTTGGATAAAAGTAAAACTATT